AAAAATAAACCACAAACGCAGACAGCGAGAGAGGAATAAAAGCACAAAATAATACAAAATGATGAACAAAGTGGCAATTCTGAGTTCTTACCTATCAATAATTACTTTAACTGTAAATGGGTTAAGTTTTCCCAACATAGGACATATCCTGGCTGAACGGATTAAAAAACAAGATCCAACAGCCTGCTGCCTCTAAGAGACTCACTTTGGCTCTAAGGACACACAAGGGCTGAGAGTGACGGGACACGAGAAGACATGCCTTACACACGGAAAGCCAGTGATAGCAGGAGAGGCTGTGCTCATATCACATAAGACAGACTGTCCGTCACAATTGGTCACAAGAGACAGAGAAGGTCGTTGTACAGTGATAATGGGGTCAGTTCATCAAGAAGATATAACAATGGTAAATACTACATATATCTCTGTGTGTGTGTGTGTGTGTATATATATAATACATAGAGAGAGTGTGTGTGTACCCAACAAGAACACAGAGCACCTAAATATTTGAGATAAATAGTAACAGAAATCAAGGGAAAAACAGACATCCAGTATACAGGAGAGACTTTAATGCCCCACCTTCAGCACTGGATAGAGTGTCCAGAGAGAGTCAGGAAGGAAACAGTGTATTTGAACCACACTGTAGACCAACCCTCCAGGACAGATCACATGCTGGCCTACAAAGTGAGTCTTAACATAGTGAAGGGGATTGAAATCACATCAAGTATCGTTTATGACCACCATGGCTAGAAATCAGTAACAGAAGGACAAGCAGAGAATTTACAAATACCTTGAAATTAAACAACACACACCAACAACCAACGGGTCAAAGAAGAAATAAAAAAGGAAATTAGAAAGTATCCTGAGATACACGAAACACAACATACCAAAGTTGACGGCCTGGAGCAAAAGCAGTTCCAAGAGGGACGTTTATAGAGACGAATGCCTACATTAAGAAAAAAGGAAAGATCTCAAATAAACACCTTAACTTTACGCCTCAAGGAAACACAAGAAGAAAAAGCTAAGCCCAACGTTAGCAGAATGAAAGAAGCAATAAAGATGATTAGAGCATAAATAAATGAAATAGGAACTGGAAAAACAATAGGAAAGAAATCAAGGAAGCTGGTGTTTTGAAAAGATAAACAAAACTGACAAACCTTTTGCTAAATTAACCAAGAAAAAAAAAAGGACTCAAATCAACAAAAGTATAAATGAAAGAGGAGACATTACAAGAGACGCCACAGAAATACAAAAGATCATAAGGGACTAGTGTGGACAATTATGTGGCACAAACCAGATAGCCTAGAAGAAATGGATAAATTCCTGCAAACGTAGAGCCTACCAAACCTGAATCACGCATAGAAAATCTGGACACACCAACGGTGAGATTGAAAACGTCATCAAGGGGCGCCTGGGTGGCTCCGTCGGTTGAGCGGCCGACTTCGGCTCAGGTCACGATCTTGCTGTCCGCGAGTTCGAGCCCCGCATTGGGCTCTGTGCTGACAGCTCAGAGCTTGGAGCCTGTTTCAGAATCTGTGTCTCCCTCTCTCTGACCCTCCCCCGTTCATGCTCTGTCTCTCTCTGTCTCAAAAATGAATAAACGTTAAAAAAAAAAAAAAAATTGAAAACGTCATCAAAAATCTCCCAACAAAGAAAAGCTCAGGACCAGATGGTTTTACTGGTGAATTCCACCCAACATTTTAAGAATTAACATCAGTCTTTCTCAAACTCTTCCAAAAATATTTAACTACTCCCAAACAAATAATCCAATTAAAAAAATTGGCAAAGGATCTGGACATTTTTCCAAAGAGGACATATAGGGGTGCCTGGGGGGCTCAGTCAGTTAAACGTCCGACTTCGGCTCAGGTCATGATCCCACGGTTAGTGGGATTGAGCCCCGTGTCGGGCTCTGTGCTGACAGCTTGGAGCCTGGAGCCTGCTTTGGATTCTGTGTCTTCCTCTCTCTCTGCCCCTTCCCCACTCACTCTCTCAGAAATAATCATTAAAAAACAAAGAAAAAACACAAGGAAGACATATATATAAATGGCCAACATGTACATGAAAAGGTGCTCAACATCACTGATCATCAGGGAAATGCTAATCAAAACCACAAGGAGTTATCACCTCACCCACCCTGTCAGAATAGCTACAATCAAAAATGGAAGAGCTGACGGGTGTTGGCGAGGATGTGGACAAAGGGGAACCCCATGCACTGTGGGTGGGAATGGTGGTGCAGCCACTACGGAGCACTGTATGGAGGTTCCTCAAAAATTAAAAACAGAACCACCTTATGATCTAGCAACTCTACTGCTTGGTATTTATCCAAAGGAAACAAAACTACTAATTTGAAAAAATACCTGCACCCCCATGTTCATTACAGCATTATTCACAAGAGCCAAGACATGGAAACAGCCTGAGTGTCCATCAGTTACATTTTTATACACATATACACGTATATCTCACAGGCACGAATGAAATCTACGAATACAGTCATAAAAAAGAAAATCCTGTCATTTGTGACAACACGGATGAGCCCCCAGCGCATTTCGCTAAGTGAAATAAATCAGAGAAAGACAAACACTGCATGACCTCACTGACATGTGGAATCCAGGAACCAAACTCGTACAGAAACAGAGACTAGATCTGTGGTTGGCAGGGGCTGGGAGGTGGGGGAAATGGGAAGATTTCGGTCAAAATCGTTACCAACTTAACAGTTTTAAGAGGAGTAACTTTTGGGGATGTAATGTATAGCATGCTGGCCATTCAATACTTAACTGTACCCTTGAAGGTTGCTAAGAGAGTAAATGTTAAATGTTCTCAACACACACACACACACACACACACACACACACACACACACGGCAACCAGGTGGGGTATGGATGTTAACTAACCTGACCGTGGTAATCATTTCACAATAGGTACATACATATAAGTACTACGTGTGCTGTGTATACACATGTACCAAAAAATTGTCACGTGGTACAGCTTAAACTTACACAGTGTTGTATGTCAACTATATCTCAGCAAAGTTACAAACAACAACGACGACAACAACAAAAAAACCCAAACCCCAAACTGATTTGCCACACTTGAAAAAAAAATTATATACTACGGCAAGGTGGGATTTGTCTCAGGAATTGGGAGGCTGGTTGAGTATCCGAAAATCAAATCAATGAAATATACCACATCAATGGGATGAATAAAAAGGCCTCACGGGATCATCCCAATAATCACAAAAAAGCACCGGACAAAACCTAACACCCTTTCATGATAAAACACTCAACAAAACCGGAATAGAGGGGAAACTCCCCAATCTGATTAATGCAGAAAAGCCACATTTGACAGACAGGGCACTCGGCAGTGGCTGACCGGATGCTTTTCGTCTAAGCCCAGAAACAAGACTAGGATGTGACTCTACTGGAGGCTGTGGCCAGGCCGTTAGGGAAGAGGAAGAAATACACGACGCGGGGATTGAAAGGTAAGAGGTACGACTATTTTCGATCACCGAGGTCATCATCTTGTGTGTAGGAATCAGGTTTAGGGATAGGCTGAAAAACTGTCGGAACTGATAACACGTCCATCAAGGTTGCAGGATACAGGATCAATACCGAGACCCTAACAGTCACCCGTGACCCCCATTCCTTCTCTCCCGCTCCAGGGTCCACATCAGGGGGCGGTGCTCCTGCTGAATTCCGTGCCCTGCCCACCCCCTCTTCCTTGACCTCGACGGGGTCTTTCACACGCTTTCCCCACTGTGTTCACAGTCACTCTTTGGCTGCCCATCCGGGGGAAGGGGTTGGAGCTCCCAATTCTGACCGGCCAGCACCTTCTCCCCCCCCCCCGCCGCCCCCCGTCCCCAGCCCCTCTCCTCCTCTGGCTTTGGACTAGTAGGCGTCCCTGTCGCCCACGTGCCAGGACTGCCCGGCCCCCGCCTACCCTCACCCCCCACCCCCGCGCGTCTGTCTTTGGCTGCCCCTGCCCCCGGCGCGACCTCCACCGGGGCTCTCCGCTGGGTGCTTGTGCAACGACCGCGGGCTCCACGTTCGGGCTCAGGGCGGCGGTTCCCCGCCCCCGGGATCCCCACCCAGGAAGCCTCGCCCCTGCTCTCCGCGGGTCCTGGGTCTCTGGGCCTGGAGGTCTCGGGGGGAGGGGGCGGCAGAGGCGCGGGCGGGGTCGGTGCCCACCAGGTCCCCCTCCCCCCGCTGCAGGCTCGGGGTCCCCGCGATGGTGGGCAGGGCGGCCCCGTCAGCAGTGCCTCTCTCCGGGAGGGGGAGACGCCGGGGTCGTGCAGGGGCCGAAGGGTCGCCTTCCCGGGGTGGCAGTCGGCCCGTCGGACGGCGGCTGGAACCTCCGGTGCGGACGGCCGGGTGCCGGGACGGAGGAGGCGCGGCCCAGACAAAGGGCTGCTGCGGAACCCGCCCGGGCCTGCCCACCAGCGCCCGCCCGCTCCGCACGACCCGCGCCCGGCGCCCGGCGAGAGGGGCGGGGCCGCAGTCTGGCCCTATGCGCGTGCGGCGGTGGGCGGGGCGAGCGCGGGGCCTGGGGCGGGCCGCTCCCACTGCGCGTGCGGCAATGAGCGGGACGAGCGCGGGCCGG